ATTCCTGCAGCTTTTTCAGCTTCTCCTGGTGAAGATGCCAGGAAATACTCTCAAGAATTGCTAGGGGCGAAATTCAATTGCATTGCAGGAAAAAAATGCCAGAGGCATGTGTCAGTGTGTGTGTGTGTGTGTGTGTACAACAGTAGACGGGACCAACAGTTACCTCCCCACATGCCCACCACCCCACCGGGCTCCTGCCTGTGGGCACACGTGGGGTTCCCAGTGCACGAGGCTGCCTCTGCAGCGGGACCACATCCATAAGGGCTGAGCAGCTTCAGGGATTCCCCAGCTCACCCTGCTAATTGCCAATGCCACGTGCGCTGAAGCACCAGCGTAGGATGCTCTGGGCATTTCTGCACCAAGGACTCCGTGTATTGCCAATCGCCGGTGGCTTCCGCTTCACGTTAGGTTTTTCTCTCCCTCCTCCACCCCCATGTCCTTGTTTCACACTGGCCTCGCACCAAGGGATGCTGCAGCCAGAGCTAAAGGGCTCCGCCGCTGCTTTTCTGGAGCAGGAGATGAGCTAAGGGCTGGGGTTTGCTGTGTCCCAGCGCAGGGTCCCCGCTCACTTACGATGGCCTTTTCCCGTCTCTTCTCCAGCTGGCCCCGGTGCCCGCTCCCGCCCTGACACTGCTCGCTGTTCTCACACCTGGGAAGCGAGGGAGAGGAGGTCAGACGGGGAACAGGGCAGGGGATCCGGTGGGAAAAGCTTTGAACGTCAAAGAGAAGCCAAGGCATGTGGTGTCTGCAGCAACGGGTGGGCACTTGGAAGTACCACCAGCCGAGGAGAGACAGGGGGCTGGAAACACTGGGAAGGATGCTGGGAAGTCCTTTCCGACAGATGCCAGGGGGGTGTCCCAGTTGGCGCTTGTCCCTTCTCACGCACGCCTCCGGCCCCTGCCCATGCCCCATCACCCCCAGCACGACGGAAATCCCTGGCTGCTTCCCCCCGCTGCTGCTTTCTCTGGCCATGGATGATGTTTTCAGCAGCTGCTGATGCAGTACCAATCATTTCAATGGTTTTTCTTTCATTAATTATCATCTTTGTTTCTTGGGCTAGGAGACCAGAGCGAGCCAGGGCTGCCTCGCACCGGGGCGAAAACGCAGGGTGCAAGAACCGCCCCAAGTGCCCCCCCCGCGCTGCCCCCCGTACCTGAAGGTCCGTCTGCTCGCAGGCGATCGGGACCGGCAGCATGAAGACCCCGAGCTGGACCTGCTTCGGGAACAGTAATGCAAACTGGTCCTGGAAAGGTGGTTTCTCCGCAGGCACAGCTTGGTGTCGCCGTGCTCCTCCTCCTCCTCTTCCTCTTCCTCCTCCTCCTCCTCCACGGGGGAGCCGCTTTCACTGCAGCTGTCTTCAAAGACAGTGTCGTACTCAGGGGTCTTGCAGAAGACCATGTCCTCGTCATCGAGAGCACTGTCCAGAAAGCCAAAGTGCTTCGTTAAGCTGGCTCTGATCTCCTGGTCTCTCAGCTGCTTGACGCCATCCTTCCACAGCATCTCGCCGCCCGCCTCCTTGCCACCGAGGTCCAGCCCCTGGTAGTGGGCGGCCGGGACCCTCCTCTTGTGCTCCGTCTCCACCTGGCTCGGGGGATCCCACGACTTGAGCACCTTCCTCTGCAGGGCGGCCTCAGGCTTCAGCACCTGGCAGTAGTCGTGGTCCCCAAAGGAGCGGGAGAAGGGCCGCTTGAGCATGCCCTGCTGCTCGGGGAGCGCGGGGCGCCCAGCAGCGCGGCTCAGGTGGGCGAAGAGCTCTGTCCTCTCGGGGTGCTTCTTGGGGGCTTTGCGGGAGGCTGCCGCATCCCCTGCGCCCCCGGGGCTGGGGGCTGTCCCGTCCTCCTTCCCTGGCTCCTGGGGGATGTCTGGCTTGTACAGGTCCTCCTCGGCAGGCTTGTATGGTGGAGTGGTGGGCGGCGTGAGACCTGAACCCCCCCAAACAAAGGGCAGGAGTCAGCTCTGTCCCTGCCATCCTGCCCCGTCCCACCCTGGCACCTGAGCTGCGGCAGGCGATGCAAGGGAGGGAGGCTGCTTGGCCTCTGCGGCCTCAGCCATCCAGTGACACTTGGGGAAAAAGGACACCTGATCCCAAGAGGGACCAGAGGACTCTCCCTTCCCTCCTGGCTCACGCAGGGGACACCTGAACTGCCCCCCCATCCCAAACGCGTCCCCCCAGCACTGCCACCTCTGAAGGATGCAGCTTGTGAGCTGCTGCCAGTGCTGGGATGCGGAGGCAGCGCATGGGAAGTCCTCTGCATTTGCGGTGTGAAGGGGGGGCTCCCGGCCGGGGGATGATTGGATATTAGGAAAAATTTCTTCACTGAAAGGGTTCTCAAGCATTGGAACAGGCTGCCCAGGGAAGTGGTTGAGTCACCATCCCTGGAGGTATTTAAAAGACGTGTAGATGTGGTGCTGAGGGACATGGTTTAATGGTAACTTGTCAGTGCTTGGTTAACGGTTGGACTTGATGATCTTAATGGTCTCTTCCAACCAAAGTGATTCTAGATTTTATGGTTCTATGAACATGTCCGCTCGGCTGGGCTTGGCTGGAGCTGGCAACTCCAGGCTGAATTTAATGCAAATTTGCCCCCTCCCAGGGAAGTTTTTTGCAAAATTAAAAAATTTAAAGTCTCTCCTACCTGCCGTCCCACACAGCTCCACGGTCAGCATCGGCTCAAAGTTTCTCTTCCCAAAGGTCGGGTCACTGCAGAAGAGGAGAAAATAAGGAGAGAGAAGGTGTTTAGGTGAACCACAGTCCCCAAAAAACCAAAAGGAAGCTGAGAAAACGCCGCCTACAAGCGAGCCCTCTCGCCACAGCTAGTGCCTGACACAGCAACCCCGCGGAGGGGTGCGAGGGCCGGTGGGGCGAGCAGCGTGCCCTCCCCGTCCCCGCCAGAGCTGCGGGGCACGTTGCCCCTGGCACGCAGAAATGCCTTGCCCTTGGCGCGGGGCTCTCCGAGCTCCTTGCACCCAAGCGAGGGCCGTGGCTCCCCGCAGCCCCGTGCCCAGCTGCACGGCTCCCCGTCTGCCCTGCGAAAGCAGCTTCGCCTGCTCGCTGCGGATGCACGCCCAGCCAGAAAAAACGAGGCGGCTTTCCAGCCCCGGCGCGGTTCATTTAGCCCCGTGCGCACTTACGTTTGTGCCAAGGACAGCGTGAGACACCTGGGTGTTTCTGAAAAGCAGGGAGAGAAGCAGGGTTACCAGCGGAGCTGTGCTCCCTCCAGCGCCCGCGGTGCTTCTGGTGGGAGCCGGGACCCCTCTGCCCGCCCTGGTGTGGTGGGGGGGCCGGGGACCATGGGCTTTGCCTGCCTGCAAGGCGGCAGCATCTGCGAGACAGCTAACACTGCCAGGGTTGAGCCTTCCGTGCTCACCAAGCGCTTGCAGATAGCTGTGATTTAGGGGCAGCGGTGCAGCTGAACCCCAGTGCCCAGGCACAGGACGAGCCTGCGGGGAAGAGGGACCCGGAGGGATGGAGCAGCCCGGTCCCTGCTGGGTTAGTGCTGCACCGACTCCTTCATCTCCTTATCAAGATGGGGAAACTGAGGCAGAAGGCTCCCATGGATTGAAACAGCACCCCAAAAACAGAACAGGGCCCCTACTCCCTTTGCATGGGACCCCACAGCCAGCCAGCACACGGGTCAGGGCTCGGCTGTGCTTGGGGCTGCTCACAGCTTGGCTGCCGGCGGGGTGCCAGGTGCCCGGCCAGCAGCGCTTACCCGCGGCAGGGACAGCACGGGCAGTGTGGGTGCACTGGGAAGGGGTGAGTAGAGCGACAGCCCCCGGCCCCCCTCACCTGCTTGCTCCAGGAGGGCACAGCGCCGGCTCTCAGCCCTGTCGCCCACCTCGCCGTCTCCTGGGGAGCCCAGGGAGAGGGGCTGGGGCTCTGCCAGCCCTGCCGAGCTCCCGCCGTCTCCTTCCTCCGTGCATCCCCCAGAGCCAGTGGCCGAGCTCGGGGTTGAGTCTCTTGGACCGGCGGACGGCATAAACAGTGCTCTCCTGCTTGCGGGCCACTTTCCCCGTGGCTATGCCTGGGGTGCCCGCGTGCTTCCCAGCATCGTCCTCGAAGCCATCCGGCTCCTGCGGTGCCTCTGCCTCAGCCCCGAGGCTCTGCTGCAGCTCACCCTTCTCCAGTGCTGTTTTGGCTCTGGATGTGCAGGTCCCACCAAGGTCCTCCCTGTCCTGGGCCGGTGGCACCGGGGAGCGGGAGCCAGCTGGCCGGGCCAGGGAGGCATACACAGGCTTGCCCAGGCGGTATGGCTTGCTCACATCGCACAGCAGGTCCCGTGCCAGCAGCTCCTTCAGTATGGAGAAGGATGCTCCAGGTTTCTTGCAGCCCCCGGCTGCCTGCCAGGCGCAGCCCGGCCGGCTCTGCGTGCTGCTGGGGGGTCCCGGCTGTGCGGGGCAGTCTGGTTTGGCTCTCTTGAAGGGGCTGCTGCAGGGCTGGGGTTTGGCATCAGCGGCATCCCGGGCGGGCAGCTCGCGCGGCGGCAGGCAGTAGGTATGCATGTAGCGGATCAGCTCCCCCACCGAGTGCATCTCCCCCATGCAGGAGAACTGGCTGCTGGAGCCATCCTCCGCCGAGGAGGGGGGGGTCACCAAGTCGCCGGAGCTCAGCGAGTCCTCGCTGGAGTCGCTGTCGTCCTCGTGATGGGCGCAGTTGCCTGGGGACGGGTGGTGGTGGCTGCTGGGACACTCCTCGGGTGGTCGGGGGGCTTTGGTCTGGGGGCAGGGGGCGGTGGAGGTGAGGTGCCGGTGCAGCTCAGTGCAGCTGCGGCTCTGCGCCTGCGGGACGCTCGCCCTCCTGTCCCGGGGACCTTCCACCTTCGGAGAGGAGAGAGGAGAAAGTCAGTCCCGAGCCCTGCAGCCACGACCTGATGCAAGTACCAGGGATGGGGGCTAACAGGGTCACCCCGCATCCTCCAATTCCCTGGTCCTGGCCCACCAGCATCCCAATCTGCCTGGGGGTCCCCCCCATGCCTCAGGGGGTTTCCATGTGGGGCCAGCAGCCCAAGTGCTGCCCCTCCAGCAGCCGGCACGCAATGATGCTCCTTCTCCCCAGGTGGGATTTGCTGCTCTTCCCCGGCAATCTAATTTGCCAGGCCTAATGCACCACACAATTACCATTAGCCAAGCAGAAAAATCTATGATGGCAACTTCTGCTGGGTTTCAAAAGCTTAGCTTAAGCGATGGGGTCGGCTCTGCAGCGTGGCATGCAGCTCTCCCCGGCCGATGGCTCCCGGCATGGGCTGCGAGTCAGTGGGGAGGGGGGCGAGGGGGCAGTCAGGGAGCAGGTGGGGGTCTCACAAACCAGCGCTCAGAGAAGCTGGGAGAGGCCTGACCCCACTGGATCCAAATGAGATGGAGACGTTTCTCAGCCCAGCACGAAGCCTGAAGGTTTTACTGAGCCCGGACTGCAGCCCCTGAGCAGACAGGGTCGGGAACGCCATGTGCTGCTCTGCCGGTGGTGACAGTCCCTGCCTGTCCCCAGCCTCTGTCCCCATGCTCCCAGACACCGTCCTTTGGTGACCTCCTTTAGGATGGTTCCGACCAAGAGGTCGGTGCTGGGATGGACTCGAGCTCTGCCCACCGAGGAAGTACCTTTGCGCAGGGCCGTGGGGGTCGGGACTTAGGGGTCCCCGGGCGCCGGGCGCTGCCGTCCCGCTGAGCCTCGCAGCTTGGAGGCACATGTGATGGAGAGAGCAGCAACTTCTTCAGCTGCAAAGAGAAGCGGCAAGAAAAGGAGTCGGCATCGCAGCGAGGGCAGGAGAAAGTGCTGGTGGGGCTGCAGCCCCTCGACTCACCCCTGCGCTGGGCACAACCATTGCTGAGCATCCCACCCAAAAATGGGGGAGGGAAAATAAAAAGGCAGGGAGGCATTTCCCACCTCCCCGCGGCTGTGGAGGCAGGGGTCGGGGCTGTCTCCACAGCATTCACCCATGTCCCCAGGGACTCCCAAGCAGGTCGGGGTGGTGGGGACATGAGGGAATTTACTTCCCAGGGGCATCCCCGCTCCCATCAGACACACAGGAGCTGTCGTGGCATCCAAACTTCTCACTCCATCAATTCTGCCCTGAGGTGGCAGAGACTTTACATTGGCACGAGTGACAGGTTTGGACCGCTCGCTCGCATTGCCGTGCAAGGCTCATTTAGCTGAAGCATCCAGCGAGGGCCTCGACTCATTAATGAGCTTTCAAGGTGTTTTGCAGACGCAAGCCCCTGTGGGACCTGTTGAGGATCTTCCCCAACACGCTCTGTCAAGCCCACGGGAGGTGGGAGTGGGGTTTTCCCGGGGTTACCCACAGTGCTGCCACTTCTGATGGCAAGGTCAGGGTCAGCATAACGTTTTTCTTCTACTCTAAACCATTTTGGGTCAGGGGGAAAAAAAAACCCCAAACCCCACACCCAGCAACAACATTTCATCTTCCACCCATGTTGCGCTAACAACCGAAGGCGACAACAGCTCAAGAGCAAGACGACTGCGTAGGCACCGGGGGACTGCATGGAGGAGACAGATCTGGGGTTGCCGTGCTGGCCAGTGGGCACGGAGCCCCCTGGTGGGCACAGGGGGTTTTAAGGGGTGATATAGAAATTAGGGGTGCACAGGTCAGGGTCTGCTGGGAAACATCAATCGGGGCACCCATAGCTTTAGGCGTGCAGCTCCTGTTGGTGGAAGCAACCAGCACCTTTCCTCCCCCACCCCTGCAACGTATACATCCTATATATACACATACATATTGTGTGTGATATATACCCCCCTGCGCAGGGTGTGGGCGGTGGAAATGCACGCTCTCACCACTGGATGTCACTCCTCCCTACCATGGCCCCCGCTTTTGGGGAGACCCCGGGGCCAGGCTGGGTGTCCCTGGGGGGAACGGTGAGCCCCAGGAGGGAGCGGGCTGGGTGCCCCTGTCCCAGGGGACCTCCTGGGGATGGCGGGGGTTTGCGGCAAAATGCTGCCAGTTAGTCCAGGCCTGGAGCCGGAGCGGGGTTGGAGCCCCAGTATTGCAGGGGACCAAGAGGGATGCTCCAGTCACCAAATCTGTAGGGACTGGAGGCCACGCAGCCCCTGAGAGGGTTGTGGCAGAAGGCATGGGGAGGGGGGGCAAACCGGCCAAGCCCCCTCCGTCCCTCCTGCGAGAGCAGCGGGGAGCTCGGCCCCGAGGCAGAGCAGGACGGGAGCAGCCACCGGTGCCCATGGGCACGGGACTGGGATGCGCTAGGGAGACCCCCGGGCAGCCCCACATCCGTGCATCCGATTAAAAGCAGGTGTGAGTCTTGCCAAAGCAGCTCCCATCCTTTTGACACCCGCCCCCACCCCCTTCATATATATATTTGTATACACACAGCTTGTTCCCGTGAGGATGGTGATGGAGGTGACAGCAATGATGCAGAACATGTATACGTATACAATACAAGTATATGCTTTGGTATTGACGGTTAAAGAGAGTTTTAAGCCTAGAATGAAAAAATTCAGACCTTTGCTTCCTATCATACCCATGCAGCCGGCTTATCAGGGGCTCATCCAAATCCACCTTAAACAGTAGGAAGTGGGTTCTTACTAGAGACAGCTCATCAAACTCGGGGGCCGGGGACGGCCCCCCCGTGACCGGGGCGGTGGGTTTGGGGGAGGGGGCAGGCGAGGTGTAGGCATGGTTGAGCGTGTCCCCCTCTTCCATAGTTCGGAAGGCAGCCAGGCCCATGTCATCTCCCTGTATATCATCCAATGTCTCGGTGAGGGCTGCCAGCAGCGCTTCGTTCTCGCTGTCTATTATCTGAAAGGAGCAGGCAGAGAAGAGGGGGGCAGGTTAGGCTGGGCAGAGGGACCGGGGGATGCTGGGCAGGGGGCAAGAGGGGCCAGTGGTGCGACACCAGCACCCACACTTCCCCGTGACCCTGCAGGGAACCAGGGAGAGCTTTTCCCCAGCACAGCACTGGGATGGGATCAGGAGGAGAGACCCAGCTGGAAAAGGAGCATCAGTCTGTCCCCCCGTGCCCCCAGTGGGAATATAATGAATCAGAGCATCTTCTCTCCCCACAGTCGCCTCCACCCCACCATGAGACAAACAGCAACAGATAAAGGATCTGTGATTAAAAAGCTCCTTGGCCAAATCCTCCCGACTCTGGGCTGCACATCTCCCCCCGGCACTGGCTAGCGCAGCGCTGCCGCACCGGGCTGGAAACAGCACCCAACCGGGACAGGAGCCCGGGGAGGGGGCAGGCACAGCCCCCTGCCCTCTGCAAGGCTGGGGAGGCCCGAGAGGGCACAGTCGGTTATTCGCAGCTCTCCTGACGGGGAAGGCAAAGAAAACCTGGAGATCCGCAAGCCCAGCCCAGGGCTGCCCAGGGGACGAGAGGGCACGGCCCCCGGGAGGGCTCAGCCTGGGCTGCACCGCTGGCCGGACGCCGCAGCCTGCAACAAGCAGAAGGGCTTTTCTTTTCACCAAAAGCCCCCAAATGCAGGCACCTCCAGCTCGACAGAGGTTCTCACCTTCATGCATAAAGCTGGCTGCGCCCAGCGCTCCGCAAGGGACCCTATTGACAGAGCACGGCCCCCAGAACGAGATGGGCCTTCTATTAGTGCTCCCCCGATCTATTTTTTCCAGCAAACGGCATGATCTGGGGATGCTGACGGGAGATTTGTGAGTGTTTGGGGCTTTGCCGGGGCTGTGCTGGGCCAGGCAGGGCCACGGGCTGCTCCTGCCTCCTCCCTGCCTGCTGCCCTGACCTGCTGCTCCCCTTGGGCCCCTCTTTCAATCTGGGCTTCATCTTGACTCGGCTCATCTCCAGCCCTCCCAGCACCCTCCCAGTCCCACACAGCCCCACAGTCCCCTTCCAGTCTGGAAATACACTGCAAAAGCCCAGAAGAGGATGCAGAAGCCGAGGAATGGCTGGAGCAAGCCAGGAGTTCCTTCTTTTTGGTCCTCCTCCATCATATTCTGAATGTAAACCGTGTCCAACAAGAAGCAGGCTACCATCAGCTATAAAATTAGCACAGGGGTAAATTCAGGCTCGCCAGGAGGACTGTTGAGTGCACACAGCCTTCTGTGTTTCTCTCATCTTGTTTGAAAATTAAATATCTTTTGTTCCATGCCCTAACCTTGGTCGCAGTTACTAGAGCAGGCTCCAGGGAAAGGCAGCAGGATGCTCCATTTTTGGCTCCGTTTCTTTTCCTCCTGTTATTGGCACGAGACCGCTGTGCATACAAGTTCAGTGGGATACATTTCATCATACTCCGCTGCTCCTAATGGGCCTGTCTTTTGCATTTCTTTTCTGTTTATCTTTTCCCCAGGAAGTTCAGCGGAAAATATGCATCTCGTGATGAAGGTCCCTCAGCTGGACTGGACCATTTTCAAGCACAGCATCAGCATAGCATGAAAGCCAGAGGGTTGTTATTATGGCCAGGTTCAAAAATATTGGGGCTTTTTATATTTTCCCCTCCTTGCTTAAATACAAATACTCCTCCCTCCCAAAATATAACCCAGAGTTGGTGACTAGCAGACATCAGTGGGTCGCAGCCTCCTTGTGCTGGGGTTAGGGTGCTGCCTGGGTGCTGCTCAGGAGGGCACAGTGACCCAAACCCCCGAGGACGAGGCACATCCAGGGCATGGCATGAGCTTTGGGCAAGGCGAGCGGGCTGCCCAGTCTGCTCTGCGCCTGGTGCCGGGCCATCCTCCACAGCTCCCTGCCTCCAACCTGCCTGTGCTGTGCTGGCAGCCCTGCCCTGGCGCCACAGCTCCGCGAGATGCTCCACTCTTCTGCAAGGAGAGGCAAAAACAGTGCCACAGGACAAGGACCAGCCCTGCCTGTGCCTGAGAGCATCCTCTGCGCTGGCACTGCTTTGCACCGCGCGGTCCCGAGTGCCGGCACAGTGATGGGTCCATCCCAGCACAAAGGCAAGGAAAGAAACCAGCTGCCCTCTGCCAGAGGGATCCCAGCCCCAAAACCAGGAAGGATGCCAGAGCTGGAGAGCTGGAAGAAGAGGCTCCTTTCTGCTCCTGGCATTTCCCATCTACCTGCCCCACGCCACAACCCTGAGACCCCCACGCTGCCGCCCCAGCACAGCCTGTCATCCCGGGAATCGAACAGGATGTGCTGTGTGCCAGGTGTAATTCCCTTTTAATGATACATCACAGGAGGGTTGGCTCAGCAGCCCTCCTCTGCTCAGCCACCTCCTCATTAGCCTTACTCCGCTTGCTCCATTTAGAGCGGGCATGCAAATTAATGGAGCACTAATCAGCTGGGGAGGAGCTATTAATAGTTGCGTGTGTCCCCTCCTTCCTCCCTCCTTCTCCCCCTCTCCTGCCCTCCCCCTGCCTCCATCCGCAGGTCCCCTGTGCCAGGGGGACGGGGGTACCTGGAAGAGCTCGGAGTCATCGGTGCTGTACTGGCTGGAGTCGGTCTCCGAGTGCTCCCCGCACCACTGCAGCTCGCTGAAGCAGCCGGCCGAGTCGAAGTCGCTGGCATCCAGCTGGGACAAATCAATCTCGGGGAAGTCGGAGTATAGGTGCTCCTCGCCAGACACCTCATACTGGGGAGAAAAGAGAAAGGGGCTGAGCCCGTCGCCATGCCAGAGGGGCAGGCAGCGACAGGCAGCAGCAACCACCAGCGGAGACGGCCGGTGTCCCCGCGTGCTGTCGCCACTCTCCCCGTGTGCTGTCACCTCCGCTTGAGCTCATTACTTGTCGGAGATGAAAAGGACACGGACTTCTGAGGATGGTGAATCAGAAGACCCTTTATTGCTTATCTTGCTGGATTATATAGATGCTTTATTGTCCACACGACAGACATGCATAGCTGTTACACTTATGATTGGTTATAATCAACTTTCACGCAGATACTTGGCTTATCATGATTGGTTAACAAAGATCCTATTTTTTAACTTCGGGACCCGGCTCACTTGTAGCTTAGTTCCTCATAAGCGCTGAAGCAATCATTCTAGTTCCTGCTTTCTGCTCTTCAAGGTCACTTCAATGACAAGGCCTACAGCTCTTCTATTAGGTCGAACCCCACAATTACTCAGACCCTCTTTCGAATAAGCTTTGGCAAGTGGCTCCAGGAGCAATTACATGGCAGTGCAGAGCGCGGAGAGCGCCTTTTCACGGCGCATCCTGCAAATCAGTTTGCACAGCCTGACACTGGCACTGCTGGTTACTGAAAGCCACACGGCAACTGCCACCAAACCCCCGCTCTTGCGTCCCGTGCTGTGGCAGGTCTCAAAACAGCAGCATCTGCATGGGAATAGCATCATCTCCTCCGGCGAGCAGAAGCTCAGGGCACAGTGCAGTCACTTGGACTGTGGCAGAGCAGCTGGTGGTGCTCTTAGGGGAAACTGAGGCCACTCCTGCCTTTGGTGCCCTAAGGGTGACATCCAGGGTTATCCAGCCGCCCTGGGGATCAGTGATAACAGAGGGAGGCAGGATGCTTGGGCACACACGAGACAGCAATGCACGGGGCCAGGATCCGGTGGGCGGCCTCACGCCTGGTCACTGTGGCTGCTCTGTACCCTGTCCCCGTCCCCACCAAACGGCACTGAACAGCTCAGGACAGTCACTCTGGGGAAGCTGCACGCCCTGCGTGTCCCAAGGCACTGCCAGGGCAATATAGACCCCGCTCCCCGCATCGCACATGCAGGATGAGAAAAATGGCATGGAAATGAATCGATGTCTAGGTGCACAAGGAGCAACGCAAGCTCTAGGAACTGAGCTAAAAATCTCCATTTAAGCCCAGAAAGGAGCTGGGACATACCTCGCTTCTCTCTGGCTCCCAGACACTGTCTGGCCACAAACCCCTGAGGCTGCATCCAGCACTGGCAGGACTGAGGGCTGCCACCAGCATGGCCTTGCCTGCACCAAGGGCTGCCACCAGCATGGCCCTGCCTGCACTGCCACTTGCTGCCTGCACCAAGCCCTGGGGTCGAGCTTGGTTTTGCCCCCGATGTCCAGGTTCAAATGCGGAGGGGAAAGGTCTGGTGCGACTCCTCCCGGTATTGGCTGCCCGGGGGGAGTTTTCTGGTGATGAGGGAAGCAAGTTTATTTACAGAGCAAATGGATTTTGGAGCAGGCAAACATCTAGAGCACGTGAGAGAGGCTGCAGGGGCAGGAGAACGTGGGGGCCACCCCTCCTGAAATGCTCTGGAAGGGTCTCCTCCAACACTCAACGGGAAGGAAAAGGGATTTCAAACTGAGGTGCAGGAATGGAAAAGACAGTGTTCCTCTCTTTCTTTTCCTTTTCTCTTTTCATTTTTTTGATTTGGATTATTGATCGTGTTCCCATAGGCTGAGGAGCCTGTGTGCCATGCTCCCCACCAGGTCTAGGACACCCTATGCCACACCAAAGGACACCCCTGTGCACACACACACTCCCATTTTGCATTTCTCACCCGCTTTCCACACCGTCCCACCCCAGGGGCGGTAGAAGAAAGGGTGAGCAGTTTGCAGGACGCAGCAAGGGTAGAAGAGAGCGGCTTCACGGCCTGATAGCGAGCCAGTGCCATGTCCTAGCAAGGGACTGCCAGCCTGGCCGTGCCCATGGCCACGGTGGAGCTGGGGGCTGCGGGGAGCTGCTGACACTGCCCCAGTCCCGCCAGCGCAGGAAGAGCACTGTCGGGGTCTGCGGATGCTCTCCCCAGCGTCCTCCCTCCCCCCTGCCGCTGGAGGGAGGTGTATCAGGTAGACATCGACGAGCGTGGTGCCACCAAGCATATCAGGCACAAATAAAGTCTATGCATATCCCTGAGCGGGTCCAGGATCCGAATACTCCTCGTGGCTCCCCCAAGGCTGAGGCTCTTCAAACCTTCCCTGCAAAAACCTTTGCTCCCCGGGTGGTCAGAGCCCATGTAGCAGGTCAAGGGTCCCCGTCCTCATCTCCACCAGCTCTGGGGGACACAGATGTTACCTTTCCCCTAGCTCTCCTGTCCCCTCTGCTCAGGGGCATCCTGGGCTGCGCTGGGATCAGATGTCCTTTGGCCTTTGGGATCTGTCCCTTACCTGCTGTGGCTTGTCCCTGCTTTCCTGCCACCACTCTTGTGCCTGCTCCAGAAAAAGTCTTGCAACAACTTTGGCTCCCCCTTCTCCCCAAATCTTCCCATGGGAACACAGGCAAAGGCTTTTATTTTTAGAAAAGCCATACGTACATATATATATGTGTGTCTCTGTGTGTGCGTTCAATTAAAAATAGCAAAGCAGTCAAATTCTCCTGCTCCTTTTGATATGCCACAAGGGAAAAGATCCTAGTGCTGAGATCACAAGGAGCAGCTGACACCAGCGCTCGGGATGTCTTTTGATCAACTCCACAGATGTGACATGTCCCCATTGGCAACAGGGCTGGGTAAAAATAAACTCCTGCAATCTAATGCTGCTGAGCTGCCCTCTCTGGGCACCCTGGAGGCAGGAGTGCTCCGGCACTGCCACGCTGCGTACAGACATCCCGAGGCAGTGGTTGGCAGCGGATGCTCCCTGGTTCCCGGCTAGCACAGGTCAGGAGGGCCTGAAAACTCAGCTCTGCCCGCGTCGGTCTCCCTCCTCCTCAGAAAATGTGGGGACAGCCTCTGCTCAGCACGGCCGCCCGCACGGGCACTCAGCAGGGCATCCCAGCGTGAAGCCGCCGCTCCAGCCAGCCCCCTCTCCTAGAAAGCGTCATTTAACCACCCCCGCCACTGAGGACTTGAGTCTCTGGAGAGAATCCATCACTTCAAGCACCGCTAGCGCAGCGCTGAGCACTGAGAGCAGAGCCCCTCTGGGCTGGCCGCAGGGGCGGGGGTGGCAGCGGTGATGGGGATGCTGCATGTGGGCACCGGACCTCAGCTGCTCTGACTTTCCCTTTTCCCACCCTTTGCATTTCCTGCTGCCTTGGGAGAGGAGTGAACTTTTGTTCTAATTTTACTCGGGAGTTTGTAGGAAGATCAGCCATGGGTTCTTGGTGTGCAGCCAGCAAACACCCATGGAGACATGCTCAAAAATTCAGAGGCATCCTCCAGCCCAGACACCTGGCCTGCGCACCCTGCAGCGTGGCCGCGACCGGAAAGCTGCCTGCAGTCCGTCGCGACGTGTCTGATGAATCCCTGCTCCAGGGAAGAGGGATGCCCAGGCAGCTACGCGGGTGCCCCTGTGCCACAGTCCTACATCCTTTGGGGGAGCAGAAGCCCAAGCCAGGGCATCCCCTCTGGCAGCAGGAGCGCCCTGCGGCAGCGCTGCACGGGCGGCTGCACCCAAAAACCAAAGGTAAAAGGTGGAGGGCATTTGGGGGAACAGCATCCGTTCAGAGATAACCTCCTCGGCTTTCTTTAAAGCATGAACCAACTGACCTCAGCCCTAGCAGGAACACAATCACAATTACAGGACAAAGCGGCTGCTGATATTCGCTTGCGTGTTGCAAGGAGCATTAACGTATTTATTCATTTATGGCTGAGCTCGGTCAGCCCTTCCCCGCTGCGAGGGGTTTAGAACGTCAATCGTGAGAGTGGGGGGTGCCCCGGGAGGCCGGCAGCCACCCTCGCACGGAGGGTTTGTGCTCGTTTCGTGGCCCTGCCGAGGCTGGCCGGATCCAGCAGCAGCCGTGCTCCACGTGCCTGGGGACTGCCAGGAGAGCAGGAGGGCTCTGTGCCCGCCACGGCCACACCACCCCCTGCCAGCACCACCATCCACGTCCACCACAGCAGAGCTGGCAACAGCGAGAAAGCACAAGGGACAATCTCCAAACCAGCAAAGACGTCCAGAGGTCACCTCACCAACTCTCCCGTCCCGAGGAGCTGCACCTAAACTAAGCTGCCACCCCCCAGCCTGTGCTGTGCCTTCTCCTGGGAACCCCACGGGAGCAAATTGGCCTGAGAGCTTCTGGTGGCTCCTTGGTCAGCATCCCTTTGTCTCCCAGGGCTGCAAATGGAAGAGCTCCTGGGTGCTCTGGGGACTGCACCCACCAGGGCACCTGCTGCTCCGGCTCCCTGTCCCTTTGCAAAGCCCCCGATCTTTGGCCTTCCCGGGACAGTGGCAAGGTGGAGTGGGACCAGGAGCTGGCACGGGGGTTCGCTTCATGTCCCTGCCCGATGGTGAGGGTGGCCAACAAAGGCAACTGTCTGTAGCGTCCCCAGCAGCTCCGGGCTGGACCAGCAGAGAGTGAGGGCAGCCACCGGCTGGAGCCACATCCAAGGATGCGCCGTTGAGCACAGCTCCGTGCTGGCGCCCGATGTCATGGGGACAGCAGGTGGGACATTTCCCTGTTCAAGTCTTTCTCCTGCTTTGGAGCAGCATTAACTCTGGTGTGGGAGCAAGCGAGGTCTTATCTCTGCAGAGACACGAGGTTCGTCTCCAAGCCCAAATCTAATTCAAATATTGGATTAACGAGACAGGAAATGTTTTCCCCTTTTTCAGTGTCAACTCAGGCTCCTTAGACTAAGCCCCCCCATGGTCAGCAGGGCTGGAGAGGCCGCTGGGGCCAGGCTGCTGGCTCCCGGGGCGCAGCCATCCCAGCGAGCCCACCAAGAGCAGACCTTGGCTCCATAAGTGTGCAGCCAGCTTGCCCGGGGACCCGGCAGCGCGCGGTGTTCCTGCCTGCCAGCCTGGAAACAGGCACCTGCCACCCGCAGTTCGGCAGCCCTCAGGCAAACACTGATGCTTTGGGGTTTCGCCTTCCCTGCATCAAGCCTGGGGAAGAAGCAAAGGGGCGATGCCATCTCCGGACACCATCTTGGAGGAACCGCAGCCCTGCTCCCAGGCAATAGCAGCCTAAAGCAGGGCAAGCAAGATTGCTCAGTTGGGCATCGCCTGCGGCACTCAACTGGCTCCAAAGGGCTGGGGACGGGGCAGTGACCGTGACGAAGAGACCTGCAGGTCCTCTTCTCTGTCACGCCCCTGACAACCGCACTGGTAGAAATTTCCCTTATCTGCGAAACCCCTGGGTGCAGCCCCTTGAAGTTGTGGCCAAGTCCTTTGCAGCGAGGCTCCGAGCGCGCCGGGCGATGGCACACGCATTGTGCTCATGCTTAGTGAGGCTGCAAAAGTTTCAGCTTCTGAAGTCTGCCGGCGTGAAAGCCCAGCGCCGTCGCGGGGACTTAATCCTGTTTAAGCCTGGCAGGACAGATTTGCATTGCCGCCTGCATGCATGGCCCCAGGATGCTTTGCAATTGCCTTGTCACTCACATGCCGCTGTGCTGTGCGGGAAAAAGGAAGAAAAGTGGCAGCTCCTCGGAGGGGCCGAAGGAACTGGCCAGAAACAGGCAGCCCATCTCCTCGTGGAGGAGCCGAAGCGGTGACTCAGCCCCGCAGGGAGCCTCCTCCCTCCCCACAGCCGAGTGCCTAACCCAAAGCATTAAGAGATAAATATACATCCACACACGCTGGAGACAGAGCCCCAAATTAGCCAGTAGCGTTTAGGCTGGGACCCAAACCAGCAGAAGGTGAGAAATGCCGAGAACACAAAGTGCCGGCTCCCGCCAGCCCTCCCTGGGCAGCACGGGCAGCGCTGGCCCCTGGTGCCCGCGGCGGTGGCCGGCTGGGGAGTTTCCCCCTCCTCGCCCTTACCTCAGGCTCGTCTTTAAAAAGGAAAGAAAATCCTTGGGGCAGGGGTTTTGGAGAGAGCCGTCTGGGCTTATCAGGGAAATCCGTAATTACAGACTGCTTGAAACGGGATTATAGCCATGCAGGGAGATGGGCACCGTGCCGCTGTTTCACCGGGATGAACTCTCCCCCAGGCAGGCGGCAGCGGGGCGGCCGGTGCAGCAGTAGGCATGGCCGCCCACCCTGCTGCCCGCTTCGGGCAGGTGGGAGCCCCACTCGGGCGCTTGCGGACCCCCAGCACCC